GAAAAATGCCTGAGTAAATGTTGTAAATCCTTGGTGTCATTCAATACATATATACAACAGCCATCAAAATAGTAGACAAGGAGAAGTTTAAGTTTCATAGCATTTTTATTTGTGTATAAATAAAATCTGAATATTTAAAAGTCCTTTCCAAAAAGTTCTCGTCGTAGGTTTTGATATTTGATCAACAAGCATTTTAATATTGCTTCATGCTACCTTTTCTGCTGAAACACTGTCAATATTTTAGAAAGCCTAAGTAACATTTTTTTTATATTGATTCAATTAAATGAAGACCAGAAAATGAAAATAATTAACCAAATAAATAACAACAAATGTTTTTTTAATTATGTTTGCCATAAAAGAATTTAAAAATATATCAAATTGAAATTCGATTTGAGATCTTTAATTCATCTGTGACACTCTAACCCTGGGCTGGTTGCAGCACCATTTGTGACGATCTAACCCTTGGCTGGTTTGGGTGAAAACCTGGTTTACCATGGAACCATTTGTGACACTAACCCCTCTGGTTGTCTTGGTCGCATTCGATGTCTGGTTAGATTCGATATCAGCTTCGTCATTCTCAGCTCGCCTCCAATGTCTGGTTACCGGAGTAACTACTTTGATCGCGAGTCTAACCTACCCACGTTGTGATTTGATCTTAGACGAAATCAATCAGGCATCGGGCCGTAGTGCAAGCTGAATCCAGGGTAAAGGTGATACTGCACAAGTGTATATAAAAGAAAAATAATGAAACAAACTCAGAAGGTTCAAATATGTTGAGAAATAACAAATCTCTTTATATCTGTTTGCTGAATACAGGAGTGCGTCTTTCTCCCAACCCACTTCTATGGATTTGTGACACTTTTGTGTTTCTTAAGCGAGTCTTGATATCTTAAGTTGTTTTTCAATAAACTGCTTTTTGGTATCTTCAGTCGATATTCATTAAAACTTGCTTTGGTGGTGTAAGTCTAAGTCGTTCTTCATTAAGAATTGCTTTTGGTTAGAAGTCTAAGTCGAAAGGCGTGGAAATCTTTCGGTCAGCTCCTGCGAGGCTGGTCTCCGAGTCCAACAGCTCTCTGTCGATCTGTCTCCGATCTCGAACCCAAATCTACTCTGAACACCTGGGGACGTTTGTTTATATGGACATCAACCAAAACTGGGTTGGGGCCTGTCATGGTTTGGGTTCTTCGATAATTCCAAATCCCCAATAAGGATTCTCTTTGTCTTCGGACAGGAAAATTTATCACTTCCTATTTTTGGATGTCAATTACTTTCTGTTTTAGTGGGGTTCTCCCCCTTCTTTCTCATACATTCACCTCCGCCTATCACTATGGTACCACTTTAGCCAATGATCTCTTGGCAGTGTGGGTGTGGCTAGACTGGCATTAGTTTACATTATCGCCCAAAGAAAAAAAATTATCTTCCCTTTTTTTTCTTTCTTTCTTTTCTATCGGCCAGAATTCTTATGAATCGCACATTGCAGCCATTAATTTTTTATCTTATCCCAGGGTCACCTGGAAGTCATTAGTGGATTTCTCCGCCGACTCATTAATTACTGCAGTCAACTTTTAACTGAGTGGTCGTTTTCCACCTGAAGACCAAATCTCTTTGTCTTTCTCATCTCAATATTATTGAATTTCCAGATGCCCGTTCTCGGTGACAGAAAGTCTGTCGTTAACAGTTTGAATAGGCAGTAACAATGACCATATCAAGATCTGTGTTCATCCGGCTGGCTTTCTTCGTCGGAATCCAAGATAACCGAATTTTGATTACTTCAGCCTACATGCAGCTGACCGAATCAAAATTTTTATTATTGCTATGTGTGTGGTGAAATTGTTATTCTTTACCCGTATTCTGTCTCCCTTGGCGCGTCACTCTCTTATCATGACATTAATTCTGACAGAATCTGAAACCTGCTTCTCTTACAAATTTTCTGTCTTCTGCGAAAAAAAATATCTTTCTTCATAAATGAAAATAAAATCTTTACCCATTTTTCTTTTGTAAAAAAAAAAAATTAATGTCGCTCGGTATGTCTTTCGTTATAGCTCTTTCTCGCCTTAAGTATTTCTCGTTTTTAATTTCCATGCTTAATTAGTTAGCCAAAATACCCGAAAATTTAAACAGAATCCCCCTCAGTTTTGGATACTACATAAATTTAAAATTGGATTCATATACAAGCACAAAGAAGAGAATCATTGATTTATTTGTTATATGATAGAGTACTACTTTGATAAATATTTGACCATTTGGTCAGATTTTGGGAAATGAGTTGGCCCAAGAACTCTTCAGCACAACCTCATATGTGAAAAACAAAGAGTATAGTGTCAGCTATTATAGACACCACCATTTTTAAGAATATTGTAGAAAATGGCTTCATAAAAGGACAAACAACAAAGATGCACAAACTGACCCTAAAAGCCTGCCAAGCACATCTGCACACTATTTTCAATGTCAAGAAGATTATTGATATGGGTAACAGTTTCCAGAGGAAGCTGGGTAGCAGTATGGGTCAACATGTAGAATCACAACAAAAATTGCAAAGGTCACAACACCATCCATGTTTTAAGATGGCTGCTGAAGTGGATCCCAAGACAAAATCATACACCAAGGCACTTCCAAGATGCCTTCATTCTAATAATTTGAAAAAAATGTGGGTGCTAATGTACATAACAAAGTCCTGAGGTACCATGTTTTGCCATGGCTCAAGGCCAACTATGCAAACAGCAACTATGTGCAGACCCAGGACGATGTTCCTCACCAGGAGCTCTGCAAAACTTTATGGACAGTGTGAACTTCTGGTCCTTTTGGAACTGAATCCACTAGAGAAGACTGTATGGAGTATTTTGGAACAGGCCAAAAAAAAAAAAAAAAGACTTCTTGTTCCAAGGTTGCCATCAAGAAGTAGGTTAAAATGTCCAAGGATTTTGTGGTTAAAAGTTGTGCAGCTTTGGTGCGGATGGGGACCGTCATGTTGAAGCTGTCTTTGAAAATAATGGAAGCCACACTGAATAATTATTTTTTTCTGATCTTATGAATTTTATATCCTTTTGTATTAATGAGACTTTTTATTGAAAATAAGCAACTTTTGAAAGTTTTGCTTCTTTATATTATATTTATAGCATAACACTTTTCACAAAGTGCACAGATACAGCACTGACCCTAAGTAGAAGTGCTGGGAGTGATATTTTAATCCTAGGCAGACATTTTTATCCAGATGTAAATAATCCATCATTTTTTACAGGTATTTATATAAGTAATTATTTTAAGACATTTTTTATGTTTATCCGTTCTTTTTATAGATACAAATATTTAAGTAAATGCTCTGTTTATAATAAACAGTATTAACAACATTTACCAGCCTGAATGTCCGAGAAATTTTCATAGAAAATATGCATCCTCCAACAGGAATCAAACCTGTATCCTATATAGAACCATCATATAACCTGACGTGCTTTTACTGATTTCACTACAGAGGAGTGTTTCAGTTAGCAAGGTCGATTTTACTGTTTTTAAACTACAATTCTCCATGATTTTCTCTCGTACATTCATATCTGCTTGATGCGTATCCAAATGTATACAAATGACGTTACACATTATGAAATGGACAAAGTCCGACAATTATTTTAAGACATTTTTTATGTTTATAAAAGTAATTATATAAACAACCAAACATAGACAATAATTCTGAAAATTCATTAAAAATACTAAATTGAATTCTTTGTCCCTAAAGTTTATGCATACCAATGTTATCAAAGCAATGTGTAAATACGCCATTTAGATTGCTAGATTACCAATTCGGACTTGAGGAATCGGAGAGCTGAATTTGAATTCCAATCAAATCTATTATATTCATTTATATGCTAATACCCTTGTGAAAGGTATGAATCCTCTTCTAAAACTATGGGTTAAGTAGCAGGACAGACTGGGTCCTATAACCTTGGATAGAAATTGGTCTACCGCAGAAAGAAATGGCAACCTACTGCGGGAAAAAAATCTGCCTTATCAGTTATGTATCGAAAGAACAACAGCAACAACTACATGTACTAATATTAATAAGAGTACTAAATACAGAACTTAGGTCAAAACAATAGGGTATAAAATTCTGTTTGTGAAATTCATTATTTTCTCTTGTGTTTCTAGAGCTTTAGAGTTGTCCTGTTTAACTTGTTGAGTGAAAAAAGTGAAGAGTGCCTATAAAAACCAGCCTCTAAGTGTGTCTGATTCTGTTGGTCATTTGTCTGCATTAGATGTAATCACAATATGCCAAGATATACCCCACCTTGGTAGAGAAGGGAGGATAGAATATACATCCTGATGAATCTACTGCCATGGAGACTGTAAAAGTTATTTTAAATAAAGGAAAAGTGTGTTTTTTTAAAGTGCTGATTTCTGATTCATATCATTGGCTGATAAATCCTTATCAAGCACCAATCATATTCAAAAAGGCAGCTTGTTAAATGGTGATATGTTTGTCAACAGGGAAGCAGTAAATTAACAAGGATGAAACAATAAGAAATGATGATAGAATCAAAAGTGGATCAGTTATATAAAAAGTACATTTCTAATAATGCTAGCTGCATCAATGGAAAATGAACAGACAATTGTAGTTGGTGCAGCCCCAACAATTTGTCAGACCATCAATCAATTTGAGCACATGTATTGGCTGAAATCCAGAAACACCAGTAATAGATACACACAAAGTCCTAACAGAAGCAGGCAGACAAAAACACAGAACATTTTTCTCTACCACTAAAATTAAACAATACTGTGTCTAGTCAGGATGAATGGGTGACCAGGTAACCATTACAGAATATTACAAAGTGTAAGTAACCTTCTTTTTTTTCTTTTTTAGATAATAACAATTTCTAAATCAATCTTCTGTCTTTGATCTATATCCAACCACTTGAAGAATTCTCCATTGTCTTCAGCTTTAATTTCAAAATAAGGCTGACAATGGCAATGCATTTAAAATTTGACAAAATTGATAACCAAATAATTCTTACCTCATTTATCTGGACATAACTACCATCATCTTCAACACGGATTTTACCAACAGTGCCAGATTTCTTTTCAATGTTGAATGGCTTTATACACTCCTGAAATGACAGAAATAACTGCTGTTTATTTGAAAATAAAGAAAAATAAGCAACAAAAATTGCTTGGGTCCATAGTCTTCATCTTATTGTTGCTTTTTATCACAACATTCTAGATCAACTATCTGAGTCCAAAGAAGGAGCATTCAATATTTAAACTTAAATCCCATATCCTTGGAGATCTTTTTACAAGGACAAAACTTTAACTAATTTGGACAGGCCTGACAACACAGCAAATGATGTTGCCATAGGTTTGGTGAATTTTTAAGGGCCAATCTCTTATTTCTGCTGACCCCCTTGTGGAGATGAGGGAGAGCTGCAATCACACCAAACAATGCTGCTGCAGCTACAGTTGCAACTGAATTATTAGAGACAACCTGCTAGTCACTATTTACATTATTTGGACTATTGTCCTCATCTTTGTCGCCATATTTATCACAACGTTTCGACTGTTGTACGCTCCAGCCTTCTTCAGGTGGTTGGAATGTCAAACTGAACCCTTTATTTCACTCACTGGGGTAGACTGTTCTAGTTCCACGTGTCATGTTTAATGGATGTCAGTTATCAGTTACCTCCTGTTAATTCCCCTCTCCAAGCCCTCCACTGCCATAACTGGGTATTGAACTCCTCTAAGCAAAGCCTTTATCCACTGTGCCATGTGTCCTTGAGGACATCTGCATATGAATTTCCGGGTATTATAAATCTGTCATCAGCAATCATTTTTTACCAGTACTCATATTGCAATTTTTGCTGTTATCATTTCATATTTTTTTTACCAAAGCTCATATTGCATATTTTTTTATTGCTATTATCTCTTTTCTCTTGCACTCTTGAAGGCTGGAGCGTACAATGGCTGAAACGTTGTGATAAATATAGCGACAAAGATGAGGACAATAGTCCGAATAATGTAAATAGTGTACATAATACCTGATCTCAGAAATATAGACAGAACCTGCTAGTCCTTACTGTTCTCCTACTATTTATGCATAATGGGAGAAGTGGGTTCATGCCTTTTTGAAGGGCATTAGTATCAAGTGAACACAAATTATCCCAGCCAGTTTACAAATTCCAGTCACCAGGAAATTAACTGTTAGACCACTCGCACTCCCAGTAATAAGCTTAAGTTTTGAATTTTTTAATCAATTAAAACAGAAATCATTTTAAAATCAGAAAAGGAAAAAAGAGTGAAATAATTCTCCAGATTGCAGTTAACCATATTGCCTCCAAAATTTTATTTTGCCATATCAACTTTTAACTAAAGAAAAATAAAATGGAAGAAAATAATTTGATATCTTGATAAGGAATATAATGCATTTGAAAAAATAATTTTAATAACCTTAAAGCATTTTGTAAATCAAGAATTAGTGATAAAATCAAGTCATATTTTAGTCAAAAATAAAAAGAGCTTTATATATATATATATATATATATATATATATATATATATGGATAGATAGATAGATAGAGAGAGAGAGAGAGAGAGAAAAGAGATATGAATCGCAATATTGCAGTAAAACATCTATTTTAAGCAACCATCTTGAATAAGTGTTTGGTCTTTGAAACTGTCAACAGTACACAATTCTTTTTATAGACATTCCCTTATGAATATTTAAAATCAAATGCAGTCTGAAATAATTTTATATTTTCAAACTGGAAAATATTCAAATAATAATGTTATTAAGTGATTTTTTAAAAATCTGTAACAAATTTTGACATCAATTTTTTCATTTTTCTTTATAAAATTAATATTGGTTTAAGACCAAAGTCTATTTAAAATTTAACTCTTATATTACATGCATTTTTTCCAAAGGAGTTTTGTGAACAGCTTTTCATAACACAGCCAATATTTTAATGATAAATTATCTGGCCTGTTGATATATATATATATATATATATATATATATATATATATATATATATAAATAACGAAAAAGAGAAAAAACGCAATATTCTACTTGTATGTGCAGGTGGGTGCATGAGTGGTCACACACACACACACTACATAAAGAGGAAAAAAAAAACTCAACCTTGCACCAATGAAAAGTGTATATATAAAAAAACAAGCTTTATAAACAGTCAATTGCTGATACGTCCCTAACAAGTGGATGGAGTGATTTCTGGCAGGTCCATCTACAAAACTTTGGAGTCAGGATGCTGAAGGTAACACTAATCAGTAATGGTCAGGTATTGGTCATGATAAAAATGCAACTTTTTTAAGTATATTCTTACATTTCATCACATACACTAAATTTGGAAGTCTAAATTCTTTCATCTTTTTGAAGAAGTTGTAGATTTCATTGGGTTGCGTTGGTGATTGGGATTTTTAACTTCTCTTTATCAAAGTCAACTCCCTCTTTGATTTGTTTCTATTTGAGGAGGGGGAGCCAAACTAATTAAGTAATTATTAATTAATTAATTAAATTAAACTATGGAAGGTTGAGGGGGTGAAAATTTGGCCTGGAAAAAAATATTCAACTCACCCACAAAGCAAAAGGAATGGAAAAGTAGATAGCTGATAAAGTGTAATTCCAGTGGCTTTTATATTTCAGAAATAGTTGGGGATTTTTACACAAGAATTTCAAGCAATTGAATCTGATAAGTAATTAAAAAGGAAAACAAATACTCCATTCCTAGAATTCACTGTTCTGAAAACATGGCAGAACAACACCAGAGGTCATGAATTTAAGGAGCAAAGCTTTAACATCTGTCTATATTTCTGAGATGCGGTATTATGTACATTCGGACTATTGTCCTCATCTTTGTCACCATATTTATTACAACGTTTTGGCCGTTGTATGCTCCGGCCTTCTTCAGGCAGTTGGAATGTCAAACTGAACCCTTTATTTTACTCACTGGAGTAGACTGTTCTAGTTCCACATGCCATGTTTAATGGATATCAGTTATCTTCTGTTAATTTCCCTCTGAATGTTCTCTACTGCCTTAGCTGGGTATTGAACTCACACTCTTTGGGTCTAGTCACTGGATCAAACCAACGCCTTTATCCACTGTGCCATGTGTCCTTAAGGACACATGGCACAGTGGATAAAGGCAAAGAGTGTGAGGTCAATATCCGGTTAAGGCAGTGGAGAATTTTCAGAGGGAAATTAACAGGAAATAACTGACATCCATTAAACATGGCACGTGGAACTAGAACAGTCTACCCCAGTGAGCGAAATAAAGGGTTAAGTTTGACATTCCAACCAACTGAAGAAGGCCAGAGCATAAAACGGCCAAAACGTTGTAATCAATATGGCAACAAAGATGAGGACAATAGTCCGAATAATGTAAATAATGTACAATTCAAATAAAAATGTTCTAAGATTAAATAGGTTTTGCTTCAGTACACATGTACTTAGCAAAAGCAGAATGAACAAGTGTTGAAGTAAAACAAATCTATTGCCATTGTTCTGTTTCAGATGGAATTGTTAATTTTAATAAAGAAGTTCTAATCATGTCACCTTGCAACACTTGATCAAAAATATAAATTCTTAAGAGAATGTACTTCATTGTCGTACTCTTTCATCTTTCCATCAATTAATTCAGACTTATGGTATTATCAGATCAATAAAAATAGCCTAAGTGGTTAGAATGTTATCATCCCAACCAAGAAACCTGAGTTCAAATCACACCTTACTTGATTTGTCAAAGCAGTGATTTCTTGATAATATCAGATTAGACCAGTGTTTCTCAACCTTTTTAAGCAATGGCACACCTAGGAGCAAATGAAAATATCACAGTCCACTTAGCAACATTTTTAAAGGTTATACATATTATGAAATAAAACCATAGATTTAAAAAAAAAATACAGACACAAATATGAACTTAATTTATTTCAATGATTCTTTTACATTATTTGGACTGTTATCCTCACCTTCATGGCCATATTCACATTTCGGCTGTTATACACTCCGGCCTTCTTCAGGTGATTGGAATTTCAGACCAAACTCTTTATTTCATCCACTGGGGTGGATTGTTCTAGTTCCACATGCCATGCCTCTTCCAGATATCTCAGTTATTTCCCTTTAACTCTCCTAGTTTTTGGTTCACCACTGCTGTAGCCTGGTATTGAACTCACAACTCTTTGGGTCTAGTCACTGGATCAAACCAATACCTTTATCCACAGGGCCATGTATCCTTGAGGACCTGACGAAGGCTGGAGTGTACAATGTCCGAATCATTGTGAATATAGCAATGAAGATGAGGATAACAGTCTGAATAATGTAAATAATCATAATACCTATCAGATATAGACAGCTATTCAATGTTTCTATTCAATTATTTGTGCAGCTTATTTAGTAAAATACTAATGCTGTACCATTACTGCTTCCACACACACACTATATATATATATATATATATATATATATATATATATATATGCTGTGACAATATTTTGTGGCACACTTAAGAGGATTCCACAGCAAGGTGGTTGAGAATCACTGACCTAGGTAGATGATTCCAGTGCGTAGTGCCATTGGCAAGTACCTGAAAAACATACTACAGTTGCTGACCCAATCATTCTCAGTGAAATAGGGGAGATGAAACTGTTCAGTATCTGCTGATGGCTAGTCATCGTGACTGAGCATACTATCCATGTCAGATTATGTGCTCTCTCTCCTGGAAATTGTAACAGTTACAGTATAGACCACAGGTTGACTATCTGAGTGTTGATGAAACACAAAAGATGTGTCTGGGCAGACATCTGCAACAGGGATTAGTTTGCCACCATACCAAACAGACATACTCAGAAGTGGCTAGCCATTATTTTAATGAGGTACCTCCACAAAAACATCTTACCTAACATTTAAAATGAATTTTTAATAACGAAAGATCTTTGTTGAAGCTTTTATTTTAGGTTTAATTTCAAGCTGGGAGATTAAGTTTAATATTTTCAATAAACAAAATACTATGCTGTATTTCAAATCTAATTTAAATTGATTGGAAGGAATTTTTGTTTTGAAATTTCTAAAATTAAAGAATCTTCCAAGAATAAAATATACTTT